CGGAGTTTGCACATCAAGGTAAATTTTTGGGGCCGGAGCTGGTTGTATCTTGAAAATTTCGTAAGTAGGGGCGTTTGTAAGTAGAGGTACCACTGTACTTGGAAGATTAACAACCTTCATGTTTGTTTTCTTATAACTATAAAAACTCCATAATATTATTAATATTATTAAGAGATTAGTCAGTAAAATAGATATTTGAGAGTACAGTGAATTTGCTGTATAAGAAATGTATATGTTTTCAAGCTATTTTTCATTTCCCATAATGAATATAATTTACTCAAGGCAAATTATTTTTCATTGTAAAAGAGAAGGCTATTAAAGACACATCTACCTTTGTTTAGAAGGATGCCTACGCTATGTAATTAGGTATTCAGGATACTTTTTACAGAAGTAGCAAACATCACAATCATTAAGGCTACCAAAGGGCTGACACAATTGACACCATCCTGTGCCTAGTCCACAGAAAGAAAAGATGGGAAGCCTTCAGTTTCACTTCATTGCAAGATGCTCTCTGCCAGCACTGCTGCTTCCTTTCATCACTTTGCTACCTCTGAAAGTTTCTCTGCCCCCTGGATTAGGCTGGTTCCAGAACTCCAGATTCTGATCTTTAGCCTCCATGTGTCCTCCTGGCTGCATTCCAACTTTTGCATGCCAGTCAGCTAAAGCTGTGGTTGCTGGACTCATTAGAACAAGTGTTTGATCACCTGGAGCTTGTGCTGCCTCTTGCTCTTCTCCTATTCCTCTTTTGGTTCACATTCCTCCAGGTAGGTCTGAGAGAGAAGTCACTTCTTCTACCTAGAAAGCAGAGCTGAAGACTGAATGGAGAGGGCTTTTTCCAGGAGAAAGGAAGAAATCTTAAGCTCTACCTTCTTGCTAGAAGAGGTGGAATTAACTCTTTCCCGTCAGGTTCATCTTTGGTCATTGAGAAGAGCCAAATCCTATTGGAGACAAGTTGATTAATTTGTTATAAGGAAAAATTAAAAACAAAAATTGGAAGCAAAATTGTTTCCATTCTTTTAAAATGGCAACCTCTTTGAAACCATTTTTCTGGTATTTTAATTAGAAAAATGTATTTTTGAATGTAGAAAAATGCTAGATATATGGCATTATATGGCATATAATGATCAGCTCTACATAATAAGAACAATAAAACTTTGACAGCGGAGACTGAAAGGCTCACATGGCCAAGTCTGATATTCAGATCTTCCTAGTTATAGATAGGCTGAGGTATGCAACTGTGCCTGCCAGCAATGAAATGGTGCTAAACTAGGTGTATTTAATAGGATTTTAATTACTGCTATAGCTATTTAAATCAGTGGTACATAATTTACCAGTAATTTACTAGCATTGTAGCCTTTTAAGTGACCTCTTAGTATTTATTTATTAGTATTGTGGCCTCTTGTTTTTATAGCTCCAGGGAAGCAGCAAAAACAGGAAATGGGATAAAGAATCTTCCCGCTAGCAGAGGATTCCTTCTGTTCATGGTAGCTTTTCATCCAATGGAAGAATCTTGCTGCTGGAATAATCTATCATGTTCTTCTAGCTCTGCTTAAGAGTAGCAGTTTTCTACCTCTCCCACTAATTATTCTGTCAAGGAGCCTGGGTGCACCAACTATTTATTTATTTATTTAAAACACTTACACGGATGCCCATCTTATATCCAATAGCCCTGGGCGGCTCACAGCAAAAGCAATAAAACAAAAAGAAAGCAATAAAGCTAACATCAAAACTACACCTCATGGCACCCCAAGCACAACACTCCCCTGTACATTTGCTGGGCTCCAATCTCACTCTAGCCCAGTGCCTTGATGAGGACCCAGCTCTTCATAGCCTCCTGGAAGGTTAAAAGGGTGGAGGCCTACTCAGGAAGGAGGTTGTTCCACAGGGCAGGGCAGAGGCAGAGAAGACACACTGCCTAGGTCCTATTAGCTGACAACATTTAAGAGAAGGGACTTGGAGTATGCCTACTCTATCTGACCTGGTGGGATGGGCAGACACCCCCAGGGAGAGGGGTTCCACAAATAATCTGGTCTCGTGCCACTCAGGGCTTCAAAGGTGATAACCAGCACCTTGAATTGCACCTGGAAAGAAACTGGAAGCCAAGGCAGCATGCACTGCAGCAGTGTAATATGGGCAAATATATAGACATAAAGACAAAAAGGCAATTTTTGCCAAGGAGGAATTTATATATTTACATGCATTCTGGTATTTCTCAGTTAGGATAAGTTTTTATTATATAAAACTGCAGAAATACTTTTGATTATCATTTTTACCACTATAAGTGCAAAACATGTACAAAATTAATAAACCAAAAAGTTGTGATAGTTCAAACAAGAAGCCTGCAGTTGCGTTTCACTAAATTGCCCCAATCAAAAGAAATCAAATCACTAATCACTCATTACACAGAAATGAGGGTGGTAAGGCATTGCATCTAATTTCTTCCAAACTCTTTTTCTGATTTCCACCTATGAAAGGGGTGGAATCCAATGAAAGGGGATATAACTAACTTCTCTAGTTGGGAAGCAGCAAGAAGTCTAAGGTCTGCTTAGAATCAGGCAAACGCAACCCCTCTCAGCCCATCTGCTACAGAAACATCACTTCCTTTTTGACCCTTCTGACGACATCAGCCTTTCCTGACACTGGAAGTAGCCAATCTCAGTGGCTGGTAGTGATTGGAGTTCTTTCTCAGTCCCTGGAAGAAGAAATGTATGGCTTTCAAAAGCTACCCTAGGATTGTGAAGTCACACATTTGGGCCACAAGTCTAAGAGTTGTAGAAGTGTGGCACAAAGAGAGTTTCATATTAAATTTATAGGAGGTAATAGCTCCTATAATTGCTTTTAAGTACATGTAACATGATTAAAAAACATTAGAAAAAGTGACAGAACAAATTGCTTAATAAATCTCATTATCTCAATATTCTTTGAATAATGTAGCATTTACCATTTTAAAAAAAATAAACATTTATATTTCTAAAATTCATCAAGGCGTATCCACTCTGGTAACGAAAGAGACATTTGTATTAACAGATCAGTAGCAAATTAACATATTTAAAGGTTGCAGATGTTTAAAAGTATTAGCTTTAGAATCTTTCTGATAATAGAGATCTAATCTGAATGCTCCCACAAGTACTGAAATTTCCTACATCAAAATCTATAATTTAGCGGGGAAAAAACAGTTTTAACTATTCATAATACATGCCACAAAGTTTCTGCTTCCAATTGTATTATTTAATCAGGCCCAGAGACATAACTCAATCCTGAGAATTTTGACCATAAACAAAAACGGGAGGATTCACTTGAACTTCTGAAGCCCCAAACATATCATATCTGAAGGATGATGTAAACAAGCTTACATCAGTGTTCCAGATGAAGTCTATTAGTTCTACAGTACATACAACCTTTCAGGAGGTTGCAATGGCTACAATTAAGGAATTCATCCTCAAGAAAGAAAGAAAAAGTGAGCACCAGAAACTAGAGTCTCAAAGGTTATTACAAACCGTGCTAATAGAAGCTGTAGATTCTTCCATCAGAGGGAAAACAAAGCTGAGAAGGATTCAGTGCATTCAGATGGGCAAGAAGGATATTTCCGCCCAAGAGAAAAATGCATACACAAAAGGAAAATACAGCCACATTGGAGGACAACCAGGAGCTTTCCCTGGTGAAAGTAACTCAGCAGCTCCCCCATATGGCCTTTCAGCAGGTCTGCCTGGAGTGCTGTGTAATTTTTTTTTTCCTAGAGCAGTAGCAAACCCAATACAAATAAATTTGATCTGAAGGAAGGTCTATGAAAATTCTGAAATTGTTTTCAGAGGGTTTAATCTGAAGTATGTAAGTGGGAAAAGGCCTCAGCACATATACAAAATAGTGTACTTTTATCAGTGGGTTACTGCAGCCAACATAATGCAGATTTGAAGTCAACCCAGTTTTTTTAGACAGACTTGAGCCTCAGAACCCATTCATTGTAGTATTTTACGATTGCACAGAACAGCATCAGACTGTATTCTATGCTATGAACATTGCTGCCACCAGCAATTTACAGAATATTTTATAGGTTTAACAATATAGGATAGGTCACTACCTCAAGCAGGGTAGGAACTGAAATCTAACAAAAGAGAGAAAACTAAACAAGAATAAGAAGATAGCGTCAAAAGTAATGATGGGATAAAGTTGCACTCCACATATTAAGTTTTAGCTTCAGTAAAGAATAAAGGCAGAAAATGCAATTTTGGAACGTATCCTTATTTGGAAGTATAGTACATCCCACTGTGTCTAGTAAATGCATTACGTACGTGTTAAGCTATTCTACTTTTCTCTATAAAAATAGTGACAAGATCATACGACTATGTAGAAATTCTGCTAGTGCAGCCTAAAAACTGAAGTGGTATTTGAGTGGTCCTAGGGCATACAGGCACTGCCCAGACTATCTTCCTCTTTCCCATCTGTGAATTAAGAAAGGCGAAAATACCAGAAATTTGTAACTGGGGCTGTCCTTCCATAACCGAAGAAAAACACTACAGCTACCGGGGCACGCTGCACTTCCCCCGCAACTCAAGAAAAATCATTCACTTTTTTTTAACTTCCAAAGCCAATCCCCAGCCAATCCTAGCGCAGTCAGCTCCCGAAGGGTTTGCCCAGATCCCATCGACCATTGCGCCGCCTACGTTTCCCAGAGCAAAATAAAAAGCGAACGAGTCATAGTGACTGCGTGTGGCCTTCTGGGAACCGCAGTCCACATAAAGTTCTTCACGCTCCCTTCCTGTTTATGTCCTCTACGCGCATGCGCACTACCCTGCCTCGTCTGCTCCATCTCGTTTGTTCAGTGACGTTCCTTCGCACACTCGTAATCGTTTCTTGCTGTCTGAGAAAATGGCTGCTGTACGCCGCGCTCGCAGTGACTCCCGCTGCGTAGTTCGCTTTTCTGACCGAGAACTCTGCTAAATTTTCTTCCCTGCTTGGTACCGTTCGAGAGGGAAGTGAAAAAGACTCAAAAAGAGATCCGACGGCCGTTAACAGGCAGTGGAAACCTTCAACCAACCGAAGAGGCCGCCCTAGTTCGAAACGGTCAGAGCGCTGCAGCTTGACGAGAGTGACAGTTGGACGGACGGCCTGGCTGCAACAGCCTCGGCCTCAGCATGGTGAGGGGAGGGGCTGCGGAGCGGATGCGCGTGACGAGAGCACGAGAAGGGTGGGGGGTCTCGCGCGTTAACGGACAGTAGCTGAAGTGGATAGATAGCCCCGCCCGCAGCAAGTAGCGAGGGGTGAGATGGAGCCCAGGTGGTCGATACGTGAGCTCCCAATCACTTCAGCTCAGCCTGTAGTTAACTGACATGCCAAGTAGCTTTAGATTTTTTTTTAAAGCAAAAGATATGCAAATGACCATACCATCCCGTTTAAAACGCAATAAAGAAATAAAAGCCCAAGCTATGCAGCAGCTTTAAATAGATTCGATCGAGAAGACCAAAAATAGCCGTCCATCCCCAGAAGGTACTGAAGTCTTTAGTAAATAAGCAGTTTCCACGTGGTGTCAGAAACAGGTGGAATAAAATACTGGGTGAATGTGGTTCAGGATGTCAGAATATAAATAGGCACTTGCTTATAGCAAATCACTGGAAAGTGCTAACAGGAGACTTCAGTGGCATGCGCATGCTCACTCTCTTTTTCATGTGATTGTTTTTAAGAAAAAAAAATAAAACAGAACCTTGTCCTAATAACTCTGGCAAAGATAATTTGTTTTTAAACAACCAGACAGAATCATACAGGAGAAAATAATTAGATGTACACATATATTGTATTAATTCTGATTTGTTGAATAAGCTATAGTGACTGTATATATTAAGCCACCTAGTCTGCTAATTCTACATGGCTTACAATATATTAAATAAAATAGTAATAAAACCATAAAATGGATTAATAAAACCAATAAATATACAATAGACTTGTACCTGCCTCTTAAAAAGGACTGTTTTTGTCATTTTCTGAAACATTATCAGGAGAGAGGCACACCTGACTTGGGCAAGGTGTTCCAGTGGGAGGAGCATGTCTGCTGCTGAGAAAATCAGTCTCTGGGTCCAGCCCCCTGATTTTTTTCAGGGAGAGGATCTGGAGTATCCTTTCCCTAATAGATCATGTAGGTGGCACAATTTTTACATGAAGAAGATGGTTACAAAGGCCCAAGCAGAAAAGAGTTCAAGGGCTTGACCTCTCTTCCCCCAACAGTATCAGTTGACACTACCCTTTAAAGAAAAAGTGAAACTACTGCAAAACTGTCTCCAGTTCCCATCTCTTGCAAGCAGCTCAGAAAGATACCATGGTTGATGATATTGCGTCTTGCAGAGTGGGCTAGCAGGAAAGGGTGCACCACCACCGTTTCAAGTCTCTGTTTCATGTCTTGTTTAGAAAGGATCCAGATAATCTGTCTCATTCAGGGCCCTTTGTAGTTGAAGCCTAACTACCTTCTCTACAGCTTTTCCAAAGAGTAGTAGGTTGGATAAGTGGATCCAGGGAAGTATTTTTTAAGAAGAGGACACAATTTCTTTAAGGCTGAAGGCATTACTCCCTCCTTTAACAGTGCATTCATCATCAGTCACCCTCTGGGGGAGATGGGCAGCATATAAATTTAATAATAAATAAATAAAATCAGCTGGATCCATGATCTCCTGCTCTTTCCAGAAGCTCACATTGGAGAGCAACAATCTAATTTGCAGGTAGCTTCATCAGGCATCAGACCTGAAGAAACATCACAAACTATGGTTTACAAATTACAATTTATATACTGCACCAAGTCAAAGCTAAACATGTTAAAATAATCTTTGGTTATATACAGTGTATAAATTTAATTGTCTCCGCCTACTTCCTGAGAAGTCTTACAGTTTAAATTGATGGAAATTAATAGTCCATAGAAAGCCCTGAGAATAATCTTAAGTGGGATAGGAGGCTGCCTTACAAAATTGATTAAATAAATAAAATAATTGAAACATTATATTCTCTTTACATATAGAGTGAGAAGCATGGGGGTGGGGAAATAACAGACTTGATGGGCCTTTTAACTGATCAGTCTTTAACCAGGGATGATATACAACTCTGTTACTCCTTACCATCTAATTACAAGGAAGCAGTTAGCTTCCTTCAACATTAAAGTTGGTAACAGAGTGATGAGAGAGAACAAATTGAAATTAAATCTAGACGAAACAAAGGTGCTGTTGGAAAACAGAAACCTGGACTTGGAGAGTGTGGTAAAACCTCTTTTGGGTGACATCACACTCCCCCAAGAGAAGCCGATTTGCCATTTAAGAGCAGTCTTGAATTTGCAGGTAAAGGCAGTGGTGTCTTCCAAAAGAGGTTTTATCACACTCCCCAAGTCCAGGTTTCTGTCCCAGTGTTTAGGAAACTGGCAATTCCATTGTTGTCTGATGTACTAATTTCACTGCTTGGTTCTTGAAATTTGGTAAAAGGAGATGGAGGAATCCATGCCACTAGTTGATACTATTTGTCAGCAGGGTGATAGGGTTGGCTTCAAGACACAATGACAATCAAATTTTGCTTGATCTTAGAAGGAATCAGTTTCCCTATTTATACATCAGACAAACTTTGGAATGCATACAAACTGAACATCATGAATATTTGTTCAGTTTCCTACACTCTGATAATGCAAACCTCAAATATCTGAAACAGTTCTGAAATTTTTAGTTGAAGCAATAAAAACAATAAAAAATTCTTAAAACACAATAATTACAGTGACAAGTAAAATCAAGAGGCAGTCTAGGAGAACAGATACATTGTCAGGTTATGGCAAAAACTGCACTATGGAAGATTTCCTAATCTTCAGAATCAGTTTATACCCAGGGTGGGTACTGCCACAGAGAACACCTGCCTCTATAACGCCATTAAATGAGTATCAGTAAGTTATAGAATCAGTAGGGCATCTTATACTGAATGTAAGGACTGACTAGGCCTGTATGGAAGCAATTACTTAAGTAACTTAGGCATAAGTTATTTAGGACTTTTCATTAACATTGAAGATGTCTGAGTAGCTGATTAGAATGGGCCATCTTTAACAAATTGTTCAATTATGGTATCTCTGATTTTAGGATACTAAAATATAACGACTTGGAATACTAACTTGATCTTTCTTTATTAGGCAGAAGGTGAAGAAGATTGTTGCTCTGACATAGTAAAGGAGGATGACAATGACAGTTCTGGTGAATCAAATCTTGAGGTATGCTGTTTTATTTTTACTCATGAAGTCAACTGTACAATTTTTCTGTTTAATCCATGTGCCTTTGTACTTTTGTCTCAACAGTTTAAAACATTCCTGTACATTAGCTTTAAATTGAAGCAAATATTTTTATTTTTGGGGATGCAGTTGCAATGATCCTTCAATAAAATTATTTATTCATAAAAATTGTTTGATAGGGATTATGAGAGATCAACTGAGATAGTAGAAAAGATATTTCTATCCATGTGACCGAAATACTTCATATTTTTGAGAGGAACATGTATTCCTAGAAATGCAATATTCCTTTTTCTTTCTAAAGAGTTTCAACTGCTGCTCTTATAGTGTTTATTGATCATTCTTCAAACAATAAACTATAGTAAGCTGTTTCTGCAAGTAAATTTTTCTTTCAGTACTTAATGTTTTTTTGTTTTGGCTAAGGGTTCTTAATATTATACACATTGCAAGAATCTACGGGTTTTGAAGTCTGTTTTCAGCAAGTTATTTTATTATGGCAAACACTAATTAGAAGTTTGAGATTTTTCAGTAAGTTAAATTATTGCAAAAGACTTTTTTCATTAAATGAAAATGCTATCTGCTAAAGTACTTCTTTCCCTTATTCACCAAGCAGTAAAATCAAAAACAGTTAAAATTATTTAGTGCCTAGCATGTCATATTCTTGACCAATTTTTTTTTTTTTGCTTATATTCTAGGATGGGTTAGCTTTATTACATATTTCATAAAGAAAATGCTGTGTTGCTGGAACCAACCCACTAATGTTGTTATAATATAATGGTTGCATTGGAATTTCCAGAAAGTGCCGTATCCTATTTAGATTTTTTTCCCTCAAATTTGCCCCCAAACACAAATGAATTGTTACAGTGATAACTAAGAAACTATGTAAATATTGGACCTAGATTTTATTTATTTATGCAGTTTATCCACAGCCTCAGTCATAAAGGGTTCTAGACAGTTTACAGATATTGAAAGAATAACAACATATAATACAATAGATTAAATAATTAAAACTAAAATAAATATATGAAATTTACAACTACAAATGCACTGAAGTTGAGTAACAACATGCCAATTTCTGACTGGGACTAAATATATATTTTCTCTCTCTCTAAATATATATAAAATATATATAGTATGTGTGTGTGTGTGTATACACGTACATATGATATGTATGTGTGTGTGTGTATATGTGTGTGTGTGTAGTATCAAGAATAATTTGCTTCATCTACCCAAGAAGAAATTACCTTAATACCTCTTGTATATCACTTGCAATAGTATGTAGATACATACAGGGTTTACTTTCTGGTTTTTTAGGCAGAGCTTCAGATGTTCAGAGCCCAGTGGATGTTTGAACTTACCCCAGGGGGGAGCTCTACAGGTCTGGAAACTCGATCCTGCAGAACAAGAGGGCCTTTATTAAAGGCTGTAGATACCAAAGGGAAACTAGAACTTGCAAAAGAGGAAAAGGTAGATAATTTAACCTTCCTAGACTGTTAACATTCACCTTTTAGTGTTTTGCTATAGACAAAGCATGGCCTAATTTTTCTACTTCTGTTCTTACAGTTGTGCTCTATCTTTTTTAATTGAAATAATGCTGTTGGCATTGTGGAAAATAAAAAATACCTTGTCCTGAATTTCCTGAACATTTGTTTGGATTTACGTTCATGGAAGTAAAGGCACAAATATGGTTAAAAAGAAGACCAAATATTGCAGTAAAAAAATACAGGATTGCAGTTATTTAATTTGCACGTGCAGTTAGCATATTTAACGTTAGCTTAGATCCAGAACTAGTCTATTTATTAAAATTCAATTAGCCATAGGAAAAACTTCTGTGCTTTTGATTTTTTAAAAAAATGCTAATAGAAGGTTGTATTTCATTACTTAAGTCAATTTACTTTGCTTACATGTAAGGGATTCCAAAACAAATGACTAATTTTTGTGCAGGCAAGAGAACTGTTCCTGAAGGCAGTGGAACAAGAACAAAATGGGGCTCTTTATGAAGGTAATCTAACATTCATATTTTAATTTCATTGTTAATTTTCTAGACTATGCTCCTTATAAGCTAAATTCATTTATTGCTATAGTGAAAGCTACAATATAAAGATTAATTATTAAGAAGAAAAGAAGTGCAGTAAGGATTGAGACCTACATTTGTTTTCTCAAGTGCTGATTAAATAATCTAATTACAAAAATAAAGATCAGTGACTACAGTTCAGAGGATCATGTACCTTGGCTAGAATATTGGTTCTGATGTGGATGAATCATATTCAAAGTTGTGCTCAACTTTGGGTTGAATTAGGTAGACATCTGGAAAATAAAGATGTCTCAGACTAACCTACCCCCGAGGTTATTATGAGGAGTATTAAATTTATTATAACATTTGAATTATGAAGGATACTATAAATGACCATTTTACTGGCACACTAATTTTGAAGTAAGTATTGTAATAAATGGAATTTGGGTTGTTTTAAAATATTTTTTTTAACAAGGGCAGCAATATGGTTAATGTACACAAAATCCCCTCTCTTCTGTCCCTCCTGTCTTTATCTTTTAAAAAAAAAATCTTTTAATTTAAACAAAAAATTCAAAGCAACCGCATAACTTTTATTTCCAGAATGTTTCTGGGCCTCACATATTCAAGCAAGCATCTTGGGATTTTAGATGGATGATAAGGCCACAACCTCACCCATTTACTATAAGGCATTGTGATTGGTCATACCAACCAAGACTGTGTCCCAAATGTGCTCTCAACATTTCAAATGTGCTAACTGGCCCAAGAAATTGTGCCAATTCATTGTTATACTTTGATCTTGGAGTATTTACCTTGCCCTTTCAATTAAATATTTAGTCATCCTTGTTGCTGATTCACTCCACTGCTCTCCTCCCCCCAGCCTGGCCCACCACATTTTATGAATACCAGTGAAAAGTATGGAAATAGTTAAAAGTTTATACTATTAAAGTGCCCTTTAATAAAGGTGATTGTGCCCTCCTACCATCATTCTTTGCAGAATATGTTTTGAAATAATTGCTTTTTGGTATACTACAATAAGAAAAGAAAGAAAACTTGCATAAGAACTCTGATAACGTACTGATTTTTAAAAGTTCATTTTAAATAGCTATTCCAAAGAGTATGTACAACCAATTTAAATAAGAATTTTTATTTTTAGCTATTAAGTTTTACCGTCTGGCTATGCAATTGGTCCCAGATATTGAATTTAAGATTACCTATACCAGATCTCCAGAAGGCGACAGTATTGGGAAAAGCTAGTAAGTATACATGTATGTATATATGTATGTATTATTTGAAAAAATTGAAGTGAGGGAAAGCTGTACTCTTGTATATACTTGAAATCTAGTTCTGTGATGTTAGGTGGACATGACCCCAATAAACCCATTTTAGGGTGTAAATTCAGAAATAGCTTAAGCTTACTAGATAAACTTCTGAATTTACATGCTTAAAACCATTCTGCTGCACAGCTTCAGTGGTTTCTAATGGCTTATTGTTACATATATATTTTTGGTGTGATTGAGTTCTGACCAAAAATCTATTGAATCATCAGTATATAAAAGGTGTTCTAGGTCTTGAATTCCCACTTTTCTGACAGAATTTACTTTGTGCCTATACTATTGGTGAAGAAACTAGAAGAAGCAAGAGGGAGTATTCCTAAACAGGGCAAACATGATGTGATACATCCACAGTTATTCCCATATGGGAAATCCAGTATGTAGTGAAGGGGCCACCTTTCCTATCAAATTAGAAAATAAGTTTTAACAGAATCAGTCAGGTGGTTCCCCAGCTACTGGGTTAAAAGCTAATGAGGAGAGAGAAGCAGTGACATCTGTATAATTAGTAGGAAGCTCTATTAATTGGATTGAAAGAGAGAAGATTTTCGTTAGAAGGTCCAAATTAACAGCCAGGTATGTGGGGAGAAGGGGGAAAAGAAGCATTGTGTCATATTTAATGGTTTGGCCAGACAAATGGACAATAGCTAAATAAATTGAAATTGCAAAAGTACAAGTCTCTTGTAGAAGCCAGTGTCTCTACGTAGCGTGAGTATTTAATAACTAAGGAGGTAAGTTAGGCAGAAATCTCGGGTTTGAATTTGAAACTTGACTTTTACAGGTAGTCCTTGACGTACAACCACAATTTGGACTGGAACCTCCATTGCTAAGCAATGTGGTCATTAGGTGAAACATCACATGACTGCACCTCTTAGCGGTGGTAATTCCAGTAGACCCAGTTGCAGTTAGGCCAGGACAGTGCTGTTGTTAGGCAAGTACCTCATGCTTCTCCTGCCCTGCCATGCTTGCCTTCACTTCAACTCTCCCCACCCACCTATCTTCCCCCTATCTTGGCCCTCAGAATCTTTCCAAAGGATTTCTGAAGCAGGTGGGAATGGGGCGTGTGATTTGGAGAATGGCATGGGTGGCCTTGGGAAGAAGGGCTGGTGCGGGCAGCAGCTGCCTTGCATAAAGCAGGCCAGGGTATCTCAGCAGCTGTGGGAGGAAGACGGTGAAGGTCAGTGGGGTGCGGTAGGGCCTGTGGAGTGCTGGGCAGCTGAGGATTTGCACTGTGGCGCTGGGATGGCTGGCTGTGGTGCAGGGCTTGAGGCGGCACTCCTCAACAGCAGTGCTGGCTGCGCTGGGACTGAAGTAGAGACTTGGGGGTGATGGCATCCGGCTGAGACTGCTGAAGACCCTGGGCCTCTAATTCAGCCTCAGTGCTGCAGCTGCCAAGGAATAGCACTGTGCAGGGCACCCAGAAGGGCAGAGATGGGGAGGGAAGATAGGTGGGTGGGAGGAGTTAAAGCGCCCCTGCAGTCATAAGTGCGGACGGGCTGCCAAGCACCTGAATTTTGATCACGTGATCACGGGTGCTGCAATGGCTGTAACTTCGGATGCCAGTCGTAAGTCCCTTTGTTCAGCACTGTCATAACTTTTAACAGTCATTGAATGAATGGTCATAAGTTGAGTACTACCTGTACATTGAAAGCCTGCTTGAATTTTTAAAAGTGAGGAAACTGACCTCTGCTTCTAATGTGGACGTTTTCTTCTGTTAAAAGCTACTATTTTAACTTAATTGTTTAAAGCTAGTCCTTTAAGATAGATGTAGCAATGCTTCTAGTAACTGGTTGTACCTTCTTGGGAGAACAAAGGACAAAAAATAATTTTGGCTTCCTTCTTGAAGTCTTGTAGCCTATTATTTATAAAGTTTATATATAGACAAATTCCTAGCTCTGTATAATAACAAATGTGAACCTGATTAGAAATTAAATGAAGGATATTTGATAGAGGACAGTACTGTACTTCACTTTATAAATGTCTATTTAAGAACAAAGTTTTAGTTAAAACTTAGAATTGTTGTACTTTGAAGTGATGCATGCCAAAAAGATTAGCAGATAATAGCAGTGGGGTGTTTTTGTGACTTTGTAACCAGTAGTTTGATTGCACACATCATTCTTGCCTGTGTTTCTCTCTTGGAGAGATAAAACTCTCAAATAATATCTGTGGTACATGTTGCAAAATTAGTGATAGGAAAAAAAGTTCTTCACAATTTTGACATTTATTTCAGGTTTTGGTGAGTTATGATTCAACTTACTTTAGTCAATCAACATTTCTGAATTAATAATGGAGTAATTGAATTATAAATGTCAGATAGTAAAATAAGAAACAAACAGTAGCTATACAGGCAGCAACAATAAATCAAAATTGATTAATATGATATATACAGGTGAAACTTTAAAAATTAGAATATCGTGCAAATGTTCATTTATGTCAGTGGCAACTCAAAAGGTGAAACCTATATATATGAGATAGACGCATTACATGCAAAGCGAGATATGTCAAGCCTTACTTTGGTATAA